AATTTATTGCATTTCTTGAAGAAAACTGTAACTATTTTTTCAGTCTGTACCTGGAATAATGTAGCTCATAAGCCTATTTTTGGAATAGAATGTAATTTCCTTTTTCTGACACACACTTATTCAATATTCAATAAATGAACTTTTGAGAACTAGCTCATGTGGTAATGAAACTACATTGGCTGACTATAAACATGGCTTTTAGAACTTTTTTTGTTTTAATTTGAGCTGTTCTTTCCAAGTGAAAAGGATTCCTTTCTCTCTCTTTCCTTTTAGTCACATATAGATGTGTCCATTCCTTCACTACAATTACAGAATGACAAGGAAGTGATTTTTCTTGCCATGTGGTGTCCAGACTATTGTGTACTCTTGATGAAGGTGAATCCTGAAAACATTCCAAAACAGAATTGGTTATGAGAAGTGACTTACATAGTCAAGTGCTAAATCTCACACACGCACCAGGGCATCAGATTCTGAACATCATTAAACTTTCAGAATTAAATATGAAATAAATACTGAGGTTTGAGAAGAAAAGCTTCTAGTATTTCCAAACCATCAGAAAGAAAAGCAAGGATTTCATAAGCTTACATAGAGATTAATCTGTTGATAAAATTGACAGTTTACTCATCCAATTGTCACAATACTTAGTAAGTCTAACTTACTGCCTCACTTGTGTAAGCTGTCTTTCTAAGTTAAGATACCAAGCAGTTATAGTGTTATCAAAAGCATTTAACATTAGATTGACTTTAATTTGTTTGTATCTCATTCATATTAATGAAAATTATAAGAGTGCAGGAAGAAACTTTTTGGAGGTGATGGATATGATTATTGCATAGATTGTGGTAGTTTCATGGGTGTATACTTATCTCCAAATTCATCAAGTTGTAGACATTAAATATGTACAGCTTTCTGTATGTCAATCATACCTCAGCAAAGAAATTCCTTATAGTTCCTTGGTTTGTACTTATCCTGGAATTGCAGAGAGGAGATAAAGTATATTTTATTGATTGGATAGAGAAAATAGAAACCCTGAACTTTCATGTACCAAGAGTTTCAAATGAGGCCATTTGCTATGGACCACAAGACAACTTTAAACAGACTCACATTTTAAGAAGAAATAATTTCCCAGAGGCAAATGAGTCCATTTTAGATGATTAAGCCACTGAATTTGAATAACATAATGAAAGAAAAACAGGCTGAGAACTTTTAGTTAACTCAACTGCAAAATATGATACACAACAGAAAAGTGCAGCCAATAAACAAAGAGCCCAATACTGTTTTTATAAAATTTTATTTTTTCCATCACCATTTTACCCTCCATGCCCTCCCACCCACCTCCTCCCCCCTCAATTATTGGTAATACTGTTCAAACGACCACCCAGCCCCCACAAAAAAAAACATTAGAAGCACCCCAGAAATCCCCCATTTATTTCACCCAACTGCCAACACCTTCCAGTTTCCCAAGGTGAAGAACAATTCTGCATTTGAACACGAGTTTAATCATGATTATGTTTGAACTTTATATAAATGGAATCATAAGTATTCTTTTGGGTCAGGTTTAAGTTTGTGAGATTTACCTGTGTGTGTTGTTGATAAAATTCATCACTTTCATGGCTGTGGAGTTTCTATGACATCAGTTTATTTCCCATCTGCTGTTGATGAGCATTTGGATTATTCTATTAAGAACTCTGTTTCTAGGAACATCTTTGAACACATCTCTTAGAGCACATGTGGATACATTCAGAGTGGAATTAGTGGATCGCAGAGTATACAGCTTGGGTAAATGCTGTCCAACTATTTTCCAAAGTCACTTTTTCAAAATACACTTTTTCAAAAAAATATATTTTATTGATTTTGTACAGATAGGAAGGGAGAGAGATAGAGTTAGAAACATCAATGAGAGAGAGTCATCGATCAGCTGCCTCTTGCACACCCCCCACTGGGGATATGCCCGCAACCAAGGTACATGCCCTTGACCGGAATCGAACCCGGGACCCTTCAGTCCCCAAGCCGACGCTCTACCCATTGAGCTAAACCGGTTTCGGCAAAATACACTTTTTTTATTCACATAGTCAGTAGTTGGCGAGTTCCCACTGCTCCATTGGCCCTGGGTTGGTATTCTAAGCCTTTTCAGTATTAGCCAGTCTAGTGGGTGTTTAGTGGTATCTCACTGTGGTTTCAGTGTTCATTTTCCTGGTAACCTACAAGAGCGAGCACTTCTCCAGTTGTTGGCCATTTGGAAGTTCTCTTTTGTGAGGTGCCCTCTCAAGGCTGTGTCCATTTCTCTAACTGGGCTTTCTGTGTTTTTCTTAATGAGTTTTAGGAGTTCTTTAAGTTCTAAGTACTAGTTCTCAGACTTTAGTCTGCACCAGAATCATCCCTTTGGGCTTAAGGCATGGATTATTGATTCCCACCACCCAAGTTTCCGATTCAGTAAATAGGGAGTGAGAAACAAGAACTTGCACTTCTAACAAGTTCCCAGGTGATGCTAATGTTGCTGGGCCTGGGACCACACTGTTGGAACCAATGTTCAGTGTTTTAAAGGTAGCAGTAATACATGTTTCTTGTTAGTCTATGGCAAAGTCACCTTTCAAAAAATAAAAACCTCAACAACTTTATATTTGTTCAAGCAAAGGGCATACTATTCTCTCCTTTTTCCTAGAAATGGTGCAACTGAGTTTGCTTCAATGGCAACTATTTCAAACTATCTGAAACCAATCTATCTGCTTAGAATATTTGGTACACCCAATTAATCAAGAGAACCAGTCAGTCAGTAATGGAAGGTAGGTTTTGATTTCAGGAAAATACATTGGCTTTCTAGAGCAAGGATGTAAGTCAGTAATCTAAGAACAAAAAATACAGACATCTTAAATAGAGAAGAAAACTGCCATTTATTTGAGGTTTGTTTCATTAAAAACTCTATGATGACTGCAAAACAGAAATAGAAACTTTTTTTTAACCAGCTTTAACATCTAAAGACAAAACAAACACACACACATTTCAAATATTGCCACTGTTCTAACAAACCTCATTATTACCATTGATTATTATCATTTCAGTCTCCTGAACTACTAGCCTTGACTATTAAACAACTTATTGGTTTACTGGACTAAACATTAACCATATTATTTCTAGATATAAAATGTTCCACAGCTACGGAATTTAGTGTATTTTGGTAGTTTGCTGTGGTGTGTGTGTGTGTGTGTGTGTGTGTGTTTAAGGCTTGAGTCTATAAAACATCTGTGTCTGTTGAAGAGTCCAAATACTTGCTATACGGCGGCACATATACATACATATATATATATGTTAATATTTGCAACTTGAGGGTGGTTATACCTTATTCTGAGAGGTCATGAGAAACCACTTAAAACAATGACAGTACAACCTTCAGTAACTTAACTCACCATACCATCACCATCAAGAAAAACAAAAGGCCCACAGTTCAAAGAAAGCTCAGTAGGCCCTAAGAAGTATTGTGGTTTTTCGTTTTACTAATCAGAAAGACCTAAACAAAAGTAAATTAACCTGGGTATGCTCATAAAAGTGAACTTTCTGGATGTATCCTGAGAATATATATATTTATATAAAAGTGTTCGACCAGTAGCTATGATGCGCACTGACCACCAGGGGGCAGATGCTCAATGCACAGGCATGGAAACATGAATCAGACTGATGAATCTCAGAGGGAAGAGGGAGAGGGGATGGTAGGAAGAGATTAACCAAAGATCTTATACACATACTAGAGGCCCGGTACACAAATTCATACACCAAGGGGTCCCTCAGCCTGGCCTGTGGGGATCGGGCCAAATACGTGCAGCAGCCCTCCGATATCCGCCAAGGGGGTCTCGGATTGCCAGAGGGCGCCGGCCAGACCGAGGGACCTCATCAGTGCATGAATCTGTGCACCAGTCCTCTAGTAACTGCATAATTACAGTCGATGTTTGCAATGATTTTCGTTTTTTCATACCAACTTGGGAGAACCTATGCAAGCAATTTAGGATGAATTTCCATAAAGGCTAACCCAAAAGTTTTCTAGTCAACCGAAGGTTAGCTAGCAGTCAACCAGAAACTTGAATAAGAGTACTACTACATATTCAGGACTTACCAGTAGTGGTTTGGCCTTCTTTGAATATATCACCACCACACTGACTAAAACTACAACAGTTACCATGTCAAAGGCATGCAAATTTAAAAGATGATCAATGATCCCACTGTGTTCTTCCTGTATAGGCGCCTATTTTGAGAAAACATTCTTTTCTTTTTCTTTTAGAACATAATTACATATTGCCTTTCTATACTTTATTTTTTTTTATTTTTTTTTATTATTTTTTTTTTTTTAGCAATCTTTATTGTTCATATTATTACAAAGGTTCCTCATTTCTTCCCCCCTCCACCATGCCTTTCTATACTTTAATTACAGACTTTTTTGGGGGGGATGGGTGAGTGGATTCTCTCTACTATTGTGCCATTTATACCAAAGTATATGTTTTGCTTTTCCTATTGGTTTTATCTGTACTATTTCAGCCAGAGATCTGTGGAGGTGAGGGGTGCGAGAACGGATCCTAAGTGTTAATGACAAAATGGCAACTTCACACAGTTTTCAAGTAAATAGAATCCCTGATATAACTGCAAAGTAATATGTAGTTTGGGTGGTAGTAAAAAAAAAACAACAACAAATCTCAACAACTTTGTCTCATAATTCACAAAATTAGCTTTGGCTCTGAGTCTCTTAAGGCACAAGACCTGATAAGCAGTTTTTATTGGTGGCCTGCACTTCTGATTTGGATACGATAAAAAAAAATACTATAACATAAATATAAATAAAAACAATAAGTAATTTTGTTAGAGTTTGAAATCATTGAGTGAAGTTGGAAGAAAAAAAAAATCCAAATAAACTAACATCTTGTATGTGTAAATATTTGTTGCTAGTGTAAAAAATGTATAGTTCAAACAGTGCAAAACTATTGGAGAAATGCCTTCAGAATAGACTTGACATCGTAGAATCACAGTGCTGTCTCAAAAATAGTGAAGGTTGAGGGCTGTCCATTGGAAGCATTCACAACCATATGGCCATTCTGAGTAACATCTGGATAATTCCTTTTGAAGTACACCTGTAATTAAAAAAGAGGCATGAGAGAACATGGGGCAAAGCATTTCTATGCCCACCTCTTCATGTGAAGCAAATCATATCACTCACAGAGGCACAATGAAAAAAACACAGGGATGCTTTTATTCTATATAGCAGTCCCATTAAAATCTCCAGTAGGGCTGGGCTTAAATGCCAAACAACCGATAGATCCACTTTAGTTCTGATCATTCTGATTCACAGATATGTTTTATCACTATATTAAATTGATAAGCAAGTCATTTTTACTGACTCAAAACCTGGAGATAAATTAGAAACAGGGTGACAAAGAGGATGGGAAATGGAGCGTCTGCACGAGGGTTTCTCATTTTCACACATAAAATGAGCACAATAGATTTGGGTGTTAATATCGGGTTGTAATCCCTGTACTTTATAAACTCTGATTGACAACTATTGAAACGCTGGCGTAAATGGATGAAATATCCCAGAGTTTAATTTGTGCGGCGAGGTAGTTATAGGGTCCATAGAAATGTGATCTGTGGATAGTGGGGCACGATAATGAAAAGAGAAGCAAAAGCTTTAACAATGACTCAACCAGGCAACTTCTCTCAAATGTAAGATGATACCAAATAATAGGACGGTTCTTTGCCAAGCCTTTGACTTCTTGAATTCTACCAATTTCTAGCTGAACTAGGAGAGATACAGGTTTTCTGATAAATGTATAATCAGAACATAAAGGAAATGAAATGCTGTCAAGGCTCTCTGTTCCACAATCATCAGTTTTTAGCAGCTGTATCGTATCTCGGTGCCTTGACAGATGCGCATAACAAAATGAAATAATGTTAAGGCTTGTGAGCTCTTATCTCAAAATGTGTTTGGGTGAAAAAGAACTTCAAATGTAATTTTCCCCCCCCATAAGATGAATGTGAAAAGTTTTGTCTGAGTCTTTAAAACAGAAAATGTGCCATCTATCTGAGGCTGACTCATGTCATGAGCTGCGTCTCTTAGTCATACGACCCTGGATCTATTTTATAAGACCTGGCTCCCAAGATATTTGTGGGTGCTGTCAACAGAGTTATCATAGGAGACAATGGACTTCAGATACAGAAATGAAAAGTGCTGAGAGAGACACCTTTATATTAAAGTGTACTTTTTCTCTTGCTGCTTACATACTTGCTATCTCAAACACAGAGCTGCATCTGAAATAACTCTATATTTTCACGTAGGAGAAAAATAATAAATCCTTCAATAATGCTTGGACCCCACTGGGTGAAATCTAAGGCTATTTTGATTATAATGTAAGTATTTAAAAATAAGGGTTTTTGAAAGCTAAATTTCTATCATCTCCCACCTCCATTTTTTAAAGATAGCCATATTTTGTGTGATTATATTTTACTAGAGGCCCAGTGCACAAAAACTGTGCACTCGGAGGGCTCCCTCAGCCTGGCCTGTGCCTTCTCCCAGTCCGGGAGCCCTCAGGGGATGTCTGACTGCTGCTGAGTCAGGAGAGGCTCCCACCACCGCCACTGTGCCATGAGCTCAGCTTCTGGCTGAGCAGCACTCCCCTGTGGGAGCACACTGACCACCAAGGGGCAACTCCTGTGTTGAGCATCTGCCCCTGGTGGTCAGTGCATGTCATAGCGATTGGTCATTCAGCTGTTTGGTCAATTTGCATATTAGCCTTTTATTATATAGGATGTACTAAAAACAAAAACAAACAAACTATTTCTTGGTGAAATTAATAACAGCCAAGAGGCTGAAACTGGTTTGGCTCAGTAGATAGAGCGTCGGTCTATGGACTGAAGGGTCTCAGGTTTGATTCCGGTCAAGGGCTTGTACATTGGTTGTGGGTACATCCCCAGTGAGGGGTGTACAGGAGGCAGCTGATCAATGTTTCTCTATCATCAATATTTTTAGCTCTCTATCCCTCTCTGTGAAAAATCAATAAATTATATTTAAAAAAAAAAAAAGACAGCCAAGAGAACAAATGGAAATTGGTTTTGTTTTCTACTGCTTGATAGTCCTTCCCAAAGAAGCCAGTTACTTTCCCCATAACCCTCTTAATGTAACTTTTTAAATAAAGAATATGTTGTTATTGCCCTGGCCAGGTAACTCAGTTGGTTAGAGAATCATCTCAATACACCAAGGTTACAGTGTGATACCTGGTCAGGGCACATATAAGAATCAACCAATGAACGCATAAATAAATGGAACACGTCAATGTTTCTCCATGTTATTATTAGCAACTTTTCACTAAAAAGGTCTTAGCTTCATGGTCTGAAATACTTGAAATTGAATACTGAAAACATGTGTCCTGTGTACAAAATCCTTGATTTGACCTATTTTTTTCTCATCTGTTGCCAAGTGCAGGCTATGAAGGTAGATGAGATGACCCGACACTTGTTAGCAGGGTGCTCGTGTGTAGGCTAAGCCTCTCAGCTTTCTATTCTGGAACTCACTGCTGATCCTGGAAAAAAAAAAAATCTCTACCCATACTGGCTGCCTCATCTGTGAAATGAGACAATGATTTACCTCACAGGAACTAATTAATGGCTACAAACTGCAGGCTGAAAACACCCTGAGATAAGTGTTGGGTGCGGTTATGATGCTGCTCAGAGAAATGGCCCCTTAGTCCATGGACAGCAGCAGCATCACTCAGCTTGAATGAAAAAACAAAACATCTGGGAGGCCCTTTTGTGGATCTCTTGATATTATCTTTAAAGAACTCCAGTCATAGTTGAGACACCGTTAATGCAGTGAATGTGGTAACTGGAGAGGCAGAAAGGCAGTTTAAAGATTACAGAAACAGGAGTACTAACTAGTAACATAGAACAGTTACTTAGGCTCTTCTGCCTTAATTTCGCCCTTTGTCAAAAAGGGATAACACCAACTCAGAACAGTGTGTGAAGATTAAAGGAGACAATAACTGTTGGTTTCTTGTCACTCTCCCCCTCCTTCTCTTGGGGTAAGTTCATTATAATTTCATTAATATAGGTTGAACTATATTGAAGGTTAAACTCTAAATTGTCAATAAAGCCATCACCATGGAATTAGGTCTTACTAAATGCAACAGCAATAAAAACTCCCCTGCATAACCATGGCTGATGGCTGGCTTGGTTGGAATATTGTCCCATATACCAAAAAGATTGCGGGTTCGATCCCTGGTCGGGGCATGTAAGGGAGGCAACCCATTGCTGTTTCTCTCCCTTTTTCTCTCTCTCAAAGGTCAATAGACATGCCCTTGAGTGAGGATTAAAAAGGAAGGGGGTGTTCCCTCACATGGATAAATGGAGAGCATTTTTTTTACATTAAGCTATTATTCATTACTAGAGGCACAGTGCATGAATTCGTGCATGGGTGGGATCCTTTCCCTCTGCAGGTCTCCGCCTCCTACACAGGCACACCAATTAACACCACCTGCACCTCAGTGCCTTGCTCACAAGTTTCAGAGCCTTGTCCTCCTCACTCATCACCGTCACTGCTCAACACAGAAACTGAGTATCTCTGCTCTTCTCACATTTTTTGGCTTACATGTCAAGGATCAGGAGCATGCCTACCATTTCCCTGGTAGATCTTTCTAGACCATTGATCAGCAAACTCATTAGTCCAAATATCAACAATACAACAATTGAAATTTCTTTGGAGAGCCAACTTTATTAACTTAAACTTCTTCTAACGCCACTTCTTCAAAATAGACTAGCCCAGGCCATGGTATGTTGTGGAAGAACCACACTCAAGGGGCCAAAGAGCCACATGTGGCTCGAGAGCCGCAGTTTGCAGACCACGGTTCTAGACCCAATGATCAATATCCTGCATTTCCTTCCTCAAACCCTCCAATTTCTGGGATGTACCTTGACAAAACATTTGCATCTCAAATGTGCCGAGCACCAATTAGAAAGGAATGCAATGGAGCTGGAAAATATGAGAACCGGAACCCGTAGGGTCCAGAGGTGCAAGAAGCCCAATCTGAAATCTCTCTCTCAGGCACATGTGCCTACACAGGTGAGCATACACACTTACCTATTCCCCTCCCCCTCCCCCCGCCTCCATCACGTCTGCTGGTGCTTAGCAGACCTGACTTCAACCTGGGACGTGTTGTTAAGACCCAGCCATGAAGCTTTGTCTCTGGAGGCTTATAATTGACAGGGGCACAGAGTGCTTGTTAGAACCGCTTGGTGCCGGATCGCGAGGAGAGAACTGTTGAGACGGACTCTAATTACCACCCCGCATGGCCCGCTCACCTGTTTTGCCGTTTCGGTGAGGGCAGCAGCTTCTGCCTTGCCCAGTTGTTGCACCATCTTGTAAAAGAGGCTGTCTTTATTTTGCAGCAAAACATAGGGCTCATCATATTCTTTCAGTCTTCCTGAATCCAAAACCTGTTAATCAGCAGAAAGAAACCCATTTAGCACACAATATTGTGCAGCAGCATATTATACCTCAGACAATGTTTCGGAAAGAGGCAGGAGAGGAGAATAGAGAGCCTCTATTTGGGTGGTAGGCCTGGCGGGTGTTTAAATGGTTTGATTACCCTGTTTTACCAGGCAGACAAAGGCCTCCACCCGACCTTTTATTAGTATAATGTTATAGGAAAGGGAGAAAAGGGGAGGTTTAGGCTATGATTAAGGGCACTCAAGCAGTCCCCTGGCATTTTATATTCTGCCAAGGGCATTTTGGGTTGTTTCCATTAGTTAGCGCATTTAGCTCTCAGACTCTGAGCTTGGAGGGCTATTTATACACATATTCAGGGCTGGGAAGTTTCTTTTCTTAAAAAATATATTTTATTGATTTTTTCAGAGAGGAAAAGAGAGGGATAGAGTTGGAAACATCGATGTGAGAGAATCAGCGATTAGCTGCCTCTTGTACACCCCCTTCTGGGGACGTGCCCGCAACCAAGGTACATGCCCTTGACGGGAATCAAACCTGGGACCTTTCAGCCTGCAGGCTGACGCTCTATCCACTGAGCCAAACCAGTTTCAGCGGGAAGTTTCTTGACTTAAGAAAATAAAAAAGTTGGGTCATGACCTGAAAGCAAATAAATTGCTGAGCTGGTTTGACAGAATCTGAGTGATATTTGGAAAAGAAGTCAACACTTCTGGGGTTCCTTGGTTCATGCCACCTGGTAGGAGGGGACAGCGCCCCCGCGCGGAGGAGACTCAGGCACATCTTGAGGTTGGCTTTGGATGCAATTTATTATTCGGAAAGGGAAAGGCTGGCTGAATGAGCTGCCACCTAAGCAGCTTTAGCATAATTGCTCTGCACAGAAGAAATCTCCAGAAATCCAATTTTCCCTTTGGATAAGACTAAGGAAGCAATTAAGAAATCGAGCTCCAAATTCCAATGATCAGGGCCCACCCAGCGCTCTCGGGAGCAGCCCTGTCTGAGCTGCCGAGGACCTGAGTATCTGTGTTCACAATAATCTTTCCTTGGTGCTCTCTCTCTCTCTCTCTTTCTCCAGCGGCTTGCCTTCCAGCCATTTGATCGCTCATTAATATGCCCACTGAAACCAAAAGGGAGAGGAAGGGGCTCTTTACTCCGCATTTCGATTTATTAGTGGCTTTGGTTAATGGCTTCAGTCAGGGGTGGGAGTGGGGGGAAGTCTGAACCAATTGGCCCAAGTGAGGTACCAAGGCAAACAGCTCTGATGGTAAGTGGCACTTCGTTGTTCACTTAGGCCATATTTAGAGTAAATTTATCTTAAGAGAATCTGCTGACAATGTAAAGCAGGACACAGGTTGCTTTCCACATTGAGGTATTACAGTTAGTGGGAGACGTGTATGAGGTCTCTTACAAAGGGCATTTTTCCCCGTTCATCTTTTGTTTACTACTGTGAACCATTGCTAAGGGCAGCTTTCTCAAAAGAGTTCAAGAATAATTGAATCTGTCACATCCACATAATAATTAAAATGTCCTATAATTTGGCATGACAATTTAGGTGCCCTGAATGTATAATTTACTTAAGCATAGCATTATAGAGTGTAACCACTCCTCCTTGATGAAGAAAAACACACACGCAATTTTAAAATACATGTCTCTCTCATGCTAAAGGCTAAGTAAATAAGTGAATCAAGTTACTTTATATGTAATGAGAAACTTGATATTCTGCAAAAGCAACAAGTAAGCTTTTAAAAATCACCGTTTCAGAGATGATGGAGAATGAGTTCTCTAGCTATAAAGATTCACATCATTTTTAATGGAGGTAACTACTACTATCTTGTCCAACTTCCTATCTGCCCAAATTTGACTGAATAGCAAATCTTTCCGTTTTCTTACAGATTGTCTGAAAACACAGGAATGACACTAAGATGAGGAGTTTTCATAATTGACCAATATCTAAAAAGGAAGAGCCAGGAAAATATTAATGTTCTCAAAAGCAACAGGATTAATAATATAAATGACAGGAAGATCATTTAAGTCTAAATATTTTGAGGTTTATAAGCATTAGCAATTAATGGCCATGCACTGAATTTCATAAGGGGAGTTTTCTTTCTTTTTTTTATTTTTTTATTTTGTGGGGAGTGACAGAACTGTAGTAATTTGTTATAAGTTTGATAATTTATTAAGGTTAAATTTTAACTTTTGTAAGAAATACTTTAAAGATGTAAAATAAATATACCTCTTTAATACTCTTTTGATATGCTAAAAATACAGTATCTTAACATGAGCTATATTAGTATGGACTCACATGGATGAATTCACAAAATCTGAGAGATGAGATGCAATGGCATATATGCAACGTAACAAAGCGTATAGCTACCTTAAGACTAATAAAATAACCCCATAATGAGAACAGCAGCCTTTTGAATTTGTAAGGGAAAATAAAAATGGGTTGAGCATTCACTGTGCCACCTGCTCTAGTCACCACTGTTAAATCTCAAAATAGAGTAGACAAACACAACGCAAAATTTCCTTCCTCCTTCCCTTCCTTCTATCCACCCATCCTCCCAGTCAGCATTAAATGAGCACCTAATACCACCGCACTGTTTTAGGAACAGGAGATTTAAAACTGAGCCAGACACAGTCTGCAGCCAGAGATGAAGGCTGAAGAACAGTTCAATTAAAGAACTTGGCTGAGGCTGCAGAATCAGTAGATGTCAGAGCTGGGATTTGAACCTAGCTCTGAACCTGCACTCCTTCCTCTCCATGTGAGTACTCAGGGAAAGGCATTCTTTATTACTGAAAGCAAAATATTTATTTATTTTTATCATAAGTAAAATAAGGGATATGAGAATTTTAACATTCAATTTTCTAAGATTCCTTTCTACATGGATATTATCTTATGCTAACTTTGTATAAATTGAAAAAGTATGCCAATAAACAAAAACATTTCCCCTGTCCACTTTCCGCTGCAACATATATATATAAACCTAAGCAACTGTCACAACCAAAACAACTTAACATATGGCTAAACAAGGCTCCATGGGGCGACCAGGCCAGTGTGTGTGTATGGGGGTGAGATTTGTGAGGGATGATCACTTAATGAGCAGCAGGCTGCATGGGCAACTAGGCGGGGGGAGAGAGGGGGCCAGTAAGGGACAATCACACAACTGAGCAACAGGCTGTGTGGGGTGACCAGGCCAGCAGGGGGGTTAGTGAGGGACAACCAAATGACTGAACAGCATGCTAACCAGACTGGAGAGGGATGTTGGTGGTAAGCATGTCAACTCCAGGCCCTGGCACTGTACATGACAAGTAACAGGCACCCAATACAAGTTGGCTGAAAGTTATACACAAAGGAACTAAATTCAAGGCATGAATGGGTGACTGCCCAGTGGTGTAGTTTGGCAAAAATACAGGGCAAGATCAAGGTGGGAAGAGTGGGATTAGGGACACTGCTTTGGAGGACCACATGCCTCAGGTGGATGGCTATGGGCAAGAGGGCAAGGAAACGCGAGGGACAGACCAGGATTGGGGATGAAGACTTGAAACTCATTTATATCAAATCTTGGAAAAGCAGGGACCGGTTTGGCTCAATGGATAGAGCGTCGGCTTGGGGACTGAAAGGTCCCGGGTTCGATTCCGGTCAAGAGCACATACCTTGGTTGTGGGCATATCCCCAGTAGGGGGTGTGCAGGAGGCAGCTGATGGATGGTTCTCTCTCATCAATGTTTCTAACTCTCTATCCCTCTCTCTTCTTCTCTGTACAAAATCAATAAAATATATTTAAAAAAAAAAAAATCTTGGAAAAGAGAGAGGAGGGGAGGCAGTGCTGAGCAGTCTAACTCCAGGTGCTAAAAGAGCTGCCTTGGAATACGGGCTGAAACAAGGCCAGGAAGAGTCTTTACCCCCTCAGCCTTTACATTTACTGGTCTGATCGAGTCTAGACCTTTTAGAACAAGCAAACGTAATACAACTCCCAATTTTCTTTTTGTACCAATAGAAAGGTACAACTTAGAATTTTTATTTTTAACATCCTTTACAGCTCTAAGAGGCCCCTGAAATCTGGCGCTGTGTCTGCATTCTCCCTGCAACCCCAATTAAACTGTAAATAAACCACACGTTCCAGTCAGTGTGATGGCAACCCCCGAGCCCCAGAATCTCTCCAGGAACACCAGCCTCAAACTGCTCGCCGCTCTCTAGCAGGTTGAGGAGAAGAAATACATCACGTTGGATGAGTCAATCAGTTGCATAAGCTTAATGAAGAGGTGTTTTGTCAGGCCTGTGCATCTACAAATATTCCAAGTAGCTGTCCTAGATATAAAACCAAATGGACCCATTGCAAAATAAGTTAATCCATTTAATGGGCAGGATGCCATCAGCGATAGTGGGATGGCTTCGGGGAGAGGTGGGGGGCAGTGCAGGGTGGAGGAAAAGCCTGGGGGTGGGAAAGAGATGCTGGAACAGCTTTCAGTAGGCGGCCGGCAATAAAGGGAGATCCCACTTAGCGCCAGGTAGGGTGGAGTCGGGACAGGAGGGGGTTCAGATGCCCGCTCATGGCTGCCAGGTGATGTAGGGGCCCGGGAACAGTTATCCACCTTGGAAGCTCAGTCCTTTGACTGGTAAAATAGGTGCCAGTGGTTTTCTCTGTGGCAAGTGTTACTCAAGACCCATTCTTAGGTCTTGAAATGGAAGTCATTCTTCTCACCAGGGGAGGATGAAGACTAGGCCACGATGGCCTTCACAGCGGTTCCCCCAAAGTGTCTGCTATCGCATGGAAGCCCCCTCCCTCTCTCCCTGGGGAAGTAGTTTTTCTCCCAGATGGTGCTTTCCGTGTTCACATTAGTTTCTTTTTCTCTCTGAGAAAATGTGAACAAAATCTCCTGGGCTGTCTTTAAAGGAGCTTTCCTCTACTGAAATGTTCTTACCGTGACCACTGCAGGCTTAAAGAAAAGTTCCATAAAGATGAAAAATAGAATTTAAGTAAAACTTCAGTTAGCTTTGAATTCTTTTTTTGTGCTTTTCCAGGTGGTTCTGTTAAATAGTACTCAGTTTTGATTTCTCTGGGAAATCCCACTAAGGAGAGGTTGGAGTTTGGGAAGAAAGGGTCAAGATTATATAAAATCATAAGATGGTCTATAAACAGAAGAGGTGGAATCTGAGTTCCTTAGCCCTAGTATGGGTTCTCCGGACGTCCTTCCCCAATAACTCACTAACTACTGACAGTGAAAAATGTTGAACATAGGCGACAAGATAGCCAGAGCGGCTGCAGATTTTCACAAGCTTCTCTTGCTCACACTCCTGGGGAGGATCCTGGGGTGTCATCAAGACGGAAGTGTCCAGGGACCGGAGGAGAGAGCCGTGCTCTTGGCTGAAAATGGGTGACAAGTCACCAGCTAATCCTTAAAACCACAGGGAAGGCGCCGTCCTTAATGCAGAGATAGTGGCGAGTCTTAGGAGAAAGGCTTTCTCATGCGTCTGTCTTACTCCACGGTTTTTGTGGCAACTGAGCCAACGAGGAAGATTAAATTAGCTGTCGTTACAACGACATCATGTTTAATAAAGTTAAAATGGAGAGAACATCTTTGTAAAATTGAACTCTAAGCCGAACACATCAATGCCACTTAATGAACCAAAACTGGGCAAATCCCTTCGGAGAGCCAGCACACAAACAAAGCTATTAATTAGGTCACAGTTGTTTCCCAACGGCCTTTTGTTTGATTCACTCACAGTAAACAAAACCGTCGCCGTCCGTCTTTGTGCAAAAGTATTCACCAGTGCAACAGAATATAATTATTACACCTTGAGCATTTGCAATGACACGACTTTGGGATGACAACAATGCTGGTTATGCCCTTCATTAGCATCTGTCACTTCCCCAGCCGCTCCCCAGGCTGGCCACCCGCCCTCTGAAGCATTAGGCTTTGCAGCTGATTGACTTGTCTTTATGTCGTTAAGTCTTCCAAAATAACAGAACAGACAAATCACCTGTTTTCTGGAAAGGAAGTAGGTATTCCTAAAGAAAGCAAGAAAAGAAAATTGCTTCAAAAAAATCACAGCTTGCCAAAACTGGTTTGGCTCAGTGGATAGAGCGTCGGTCTGCAGACTGGAAGGTCCCAGGTTTGATTCTGGTCAAGGGCATGTACATTGGTTGCAGGCACTTCCCGGTAGGGGGCATGCAGGAGGCAGCTGATCGATGTTTCTCTCTCATCGATGTTTCTAGCTATCTATCGCTCTCCCTTCCTCTCTGTAAAAAATCAATAAAATATATATTTTTTAAAAATCACAGCTTTGTGATTTATTCTGCGGCCTAGACTGAGGCGCTAGAGGTTGTCATTCATGGCGTTTTGCCAAACAGAAAGCCAACTGATAATCAGATGCTCTAGAATAGAATGCAGATGGGGGATTTTTATGGCCCCCGGAATGGATGGAGCAGGGAGAACAATTCCTCAACTCTGAAGCTAGGGGATAAGGTCTAATCCTGCCACTCCCTACAAAGGAGTTGGCAGCAAAAACCAGCTCTTTCCCAGGTGCAAACAAGGAGCCAAGTTTTCATCTCCTGGTAGGACACCTCACACTCCTACCCCCAATCCCTAGTGACTGGAGATGAGAGCGGGTAGGGAAGCTGCGTGGTGAAATGCAAAGTCATTGCAGAAAACAAGATGGGCCCCCATGACCTGACAGTGTAGCTTAAAGAGTACGCATTGACCTAGGAGCCAGGAGGTCATGGTTTGGTTCCCAGTCAGGGCACATGCTCAGTTGTGGGCTTGATCCTCAGTAGGGGATGTGCAGGAGGCAGCCAATCAGTGATTATCTCTCATCACTGATGTTTCAATCTCTCCCTTTCCCTGTTTCTCTGAAGTCAACTTAAAAAAAAAAAAAATCAGCTATCACAAAGGTATCATGCTCTAAGACAGCCCTTGCACTTCCCTTCTCCAAATCAACTTCTCCCTCAGTCTACCTTATTCACCAAGAGGCCATAGCCTTACCCCTAGAAACCAGCACTGACTCCTCCCTCTTTTCCTTCAGCTCCCACATTCAGCCCATCATGCAGTCTGCTTGGGCTCTACTTCGTTATCTAGTCCAATCATTTTACCATCTCCACCTCCAGCATCTCACCGACATCCGGTGGGGAAGAGGGGATACAATTGTAAAAGCCAGAGTGAATGCCGCCTTTGGAGAACTGAGATGTGATCAATGTGGTTTTAACTATAGAGGAAAGAGGGAGAGCAGACTGGACATGCCCGGAAGAGTAGGGAAGGTCTGTGCTATACCTCACTTTGTAAAACCACATGAAGGATCTAAGTAGACACTGATTAAGAGAGAGAAAATTGAGGTTGTTGAAATTTACTAGGAGATACTGATAAGTACAGTATTAAACAAATGGGCATACTTTGATAAAGGCAACAGAGCTGACAGGTTAAGGAGATACTCATGAACTAAATGTTTGGGAATGTGGGTCAAAGTGCTGATGAGTAAGATTTAGGAGTAACCAACTGAGAAGTCAGCTACATTTTGTCTTTCTTTGCTGTTTCCCTAACTGACCATACATTCTAAGGTAATAGTATTTCTAAGTATCTATAATAATAAAAGCATAATATGCTAATTAGACCAGACAGCTGAACGACCTTCCAGACGTCATTCTGACATCCTTCCGGATGAAGCTGCCATGGTGGAGACCCAGACAGAGGCAGTTAGGGACAATCAGGCAGGCAGGTGAGTGGTTAAGGGTGATCAGGCAGGCAGCTGAGTGGTTAGGGGCAATCAGGCAGGCAGACAGAGGGGTTAGGGGTGAACAAGCAGGCAGATGAGTGGTTAGGGGTGATCAGGCAGGCAGAAAGGAGGGTTAGAGGTGATCAGGCAGGCAGATGAGTAGTTACAGGTGATCAGGCAGCCAGGTGGAGGCGGTTAGGACAATCAGGCAGGCAGGTGAGCAGTTAGGGGTTATGAGGTGGGAAAGCAGACTGGTTAGGGGCAATGAGGTAGGCAGGCAGGCAAGCGTTTAGGAGCCAGCAGTCCCGGATTGTGAGAGAGATGTCCGACTGCCAAGTCAGGCCCAATCCCACAGGAATCCCTGTGGAATCGGGTCTAAACCAGCAGTTGGACATCCCCCAAACAACTCCAGGTTGTGAAAGGGTACAGGCCGGACTGAGGGACCCCAGTTCCCCCTTTCCCCTGTGCAAGAATTTTGTGCACTGGGCCTGTAGTCAGATAATAAAAGCAAGCTGCTACCTTCAATATTGTAATACCAAAACTCCAAAATAAATCTATGTGGTACATTTAGGAGAAAAGATTTTATTTGAACGGACCCCTAACTGAGCCAGAGATGAAGCCATCTTTCTGAAGCATCAAAAGACTGACAAAGTGAAACGGTGAACTTCACAGTATCAGTCATTTACTGTGGAAGAAATATGCTTTATGGGACAATCTGAGAAATACAATGCTAGAGATGAGAATAACAAAGTGACAGGTAAAAAGCACAAATGAAATGTTATTTCCAATTACCATTCAAGAACACAAAATGAAAGGTGAAGGATGCTTAATGCTAAACAATGTTTTTAGAATCTAACAAATCTGTCTTAAAATGTTGGAATGTCACATGGTCACTCACAAAAGTCTGTGAGCATGGCCTGCTTCTTGCTGCTAGCCCAGATGCCTGAAACTCTGTAATATGAAGCCATATCTTCAATTTGGAATATTTTCATGGTTGGCCATCTTAAGTAAAAATAATAATTCAAATAAACTTTTAGTATGAAAATATGAAATGAGTGAGCATATTACTGAATAGCACATCTGAATGTGTAAAGTATTTGGATTATTGTCAAGAATGAAGGGAAAATTAACTAATTGTAGATGTCTCTCAAGCTTTACAAGAAAGGAAAAACTGAAAAACAGGTACAGAAAAAGAAACTGAAATTCCACAGGTGGGAGTCTCACCATGATCTTGTCACTGTCGATAATGGTGTTCAATCTGTGAGCAATGGTTAGCACCGTGCAATGGGCAAATTTCTCACGGATTTTTTTTTGTATTAACTCATCAGTTCTGAAATCAAAGAAGTTGAAGTTTAGTTCAGTAAAGACAGACTTAAGACTTAAAAATATATGATATTTATATGTCTCTAAAAATCAAAACTTTAAGCATGATCTTGTTCTTTAAAATCTAAGTAGAAAGTCTATTTACAAATTTACCACTTTTCATTAAAAAATGGAAGATATCCTTCATTTCAAATTACTTGAAACTATGAGAAATTATTCTCTTAGGAAGCCTAATAATAACATTATCAGCATACATGTTTTGGTTTCTTCTTCTGCTTACCAGAATTGATTCTTCATGGGTTATCAAGAGGTATCAAAGAAAGCACTCAGAAAAACTCACTATCATTAAATGTTTCTTATTTTACCATATTTAAAATTCAGATACCAGGTTACATGGAACTCAGCTCTGTACCTGAGATCCACATTTGCTGTTGCCTCGTCAATGATCAATATCCTATTTTTCCTGAGAATGGCTCTGGCAAGGCACACCAACTGTCTCTGTCCGACACTGAAGTTCGATCCAGATTCTGCTAATTCAGTATCCATTTTGCCAGGAAGATCTTCGATGGCTTCTTTAAGTTGTACCTGTTGATATAGAAAGAAGAATGGTGTTTTCCTCAACAAACTACTATTTGAAGTACACAAGCCTCCTAGTCATCAGAGCTTTGGAATCTTTAGGACTTCTTCCATATCTTCCGTGTATGGCCACATGACAGCGACAGTCATTTCCAATTAGTGTTCACTCAGAAAGATGGGTAAGTCAACTCAGGACAGAAACATTCTGACTTAAGAGCATAAACTTGAAAGGAAATCAAGATTCTTCTTAGTTACCATCAATAGGCAGTATGTTCAAGTTCTGTCAATGTCATTAAGACATATAAAGTATGCAAAATAAAATTATCTCTGCAGTAAAATATAGAAAAATTTTAAATGTTCCTTCTAATTTTTTAATTCAAATTAAACTACAGGAATTTATAGAGACAAAGAATAGAACAGTGGCCTTGGCTGGTGTTTAGAGCATCAGCCCACCCACTGTTGGGTTACAAATTCTATTTGTGTAAAGGGCACGTATCCAGGTTACAGATTCACTCCCCATCCCCACTCAGGATGGGATGCAGGAAGCAACCAGTTCTCTCTCTCTCTCTCTCTCTCTCTCTCTCTCTCTCTCTCTCTCTCTCTCTCTCTTTCCCCCCCCCTCCCTCTCTCCCTCCCTCCCTCCAATTCTTCCTTCCTCTCCCCACTTCCATTTCACTCTATTGTAAAAGCAATGGAAAAAGTGAAGCTATAAAAGAAAAACAAAAAAAGAGTAGAATACCAATTGCCTAGGGACTGGAGGGTTAACTGTAAATGGGGGTGAGAGAAATGCTCTAAAATTGGATTGTCGTGATTATATAACTATAAATTTACCAAAATCACTGAATCACACTTACACAATGCATATGCAGGGGCAACCGATCAATGTTTCACACATCAATGTTTCTCTCCTCTCCACCTCCACCTCCCCACTTCTCTCTCTTTCTCAAATCAATGAAAATATATCCTTGGATAAGGATTAAATAAGAAAAAGAAATTAACAGATTGATGAGTGATAGCCAATAAACAGGGGCACAAAAGTATTATGTCAAGTAACACACACCAAGGGTAAGTGGGCAATGTTTTCAAGGTATTTCCTAAATGCTAAAGTACTTCTATGAGTGTGTTCTTGAATTATGTTCATGATGGAGGTCCAAGCCCAACGAACAAATTCTCAGTTAGGATTAAATATGGTAATTGTGAATTTATTAAATATGATGTTGGTATTAAATATGTTGGTATTCAGCATTCACATGAAAGATGTATGAAATCTAAGGCACAAGATTTGAACTGTGGTACATTTACTTGTACTGAAAATTATAAAATGAAGATGTCAACTCAGCCAATTGCCCTCCATTACAAGGAAGAGTACTTACTAAGTATTCTCTTTACGACACATATTCACAAGTCTGCACTCCAGGGTGACAGAACTAATCAAAGGTATAACAGTGGCAAGGCTTTTCGTGCTGAGCTGACTTTGGTAGCACTTGTGTGTGCAAACTGGTCTATCTTACGATCAATATCCTGGCTTTAAAGAAATAATCTCACACTTTTGTCCAACTCACATGACATCTCATCACTAGTCTGGTTTTTAACCATCTTTCAGGTTGTCCATACCTGCCTGATGAGAAGTAAAGGTTGTGAGGTGAAGAACAATAGATATGGGTTCCAGAAAACACTGTTTTCTGAGACGAGGTCTTCATTTACTAATCAGGGTTGGTTAGGAGAATGACTTGAATGCCAAGGACCTCTGTTAGTGTTATCACACATCCATGTTATAATTAAGCCTCAGAACCGAGAAAAAGAGAACAGAGGCAGTATAACATAGTAGCTAGGAGTTGCAATTGATGGATTTGAAAACTAGGTAACAGGGTAATGACTGTAAATGTAGTGTAGAAGAATGTCCTTGTTCCTATAAGGCATACATAAGGGTGAATTGCAGCATTTAATGAAAATTTCTGCAACTTACTTTCAAACAGTTTAGCAAATATAGGAGAAAGCAAAAACTGGCAAAATGTTAGCAACTAGTGACTTTAGGTGAAGGGCATAGGTTTGTTCATCAGTCTATTCGACTTTGCTGTGCTATGAAAATTTTAAAACATAGGGACCTTGAGGCCACACAGCCTGGATATGAGTATCACCTGGGTCTGCCTATTGGGCAATTTCCTGGACTTTCTCTATCTTAGCTTCCTAACCTATAAATACTATAATATATTAACAATAAAGGTGTCAACCATCTAACATTGTTAGAGTATAAAATTAGTATGTGTTGAGTTTACAACAGTGTTTGATATAAAGCAAGAGACCAATAGATATTGCTTGTAATTAATAACTAGAGGCCTGGTGCACAAAATTTGTGCAGGATGGGGAGTGTCCCTCAGCCTGGCCTGCACCCTTTTCCTGCACCCTCTCCAATCCGGGACATCCCTCTCCAATCCAGGACATCCCTCTCGCAATCTGGGACTGCTGGCTCATAACTGCTCACCTGCCTACTGCCTGCTTGCCTGATCGCCCCTAAACACCTCCACCTGGTGGCCTGATCACCCCTAACTGCTCTTCCCTGCTGGCCTGTTCGCCCCTAACTACTCTCCCTTGCCTGCCTGATAGCCCCTAATTGCCTTTGCCCCTGCCACCGTGGCTTTGTCCAGAAGGATGTCTGAAAGACGTCCAGTCTAATTAGCATATTACCCTTTTATTAGGATAGATGTGGTTTGCTGGCCTCTCTCCATGTTCTGCTACATTTTTTTTCTTTGCATTTATCAGTATTGAGAATGGGTATACATAAAACAAATTTTGCATGTTTTGACTTCTCATTGATAATCTGCTTAATCTTTAACCATTACTTATGTTATATTTATAGAGCTGCCATTTCATTTTAGGTGTCAAAATCAGCACTAACTTCTAATGAACTTTGAGTTTACACCTGGCTATTTTTCAGAACATATACCAAAAATGTATTTTCAGCATAATTTTAAAAAATAACCAAGATGAGATGGGCAACATCTATAGAACTAGCTGAATGTCCATCTCCACCAAGGGACAAGGAGAAAGAAAAACAAAGAGGACATTATTAAAAAAAAAACCCAAAAAAAAAAAAAAACCAAATAAACAAAAAAAATAGAGGAAAACTGTAGTATCCTCTTATTGACTCTTAAGTCAACCCTGTGAGTTTGGGTTCCCATTTTTAGTATGGCATTATTTATAAACCAGCCAAACAGGGTTTTTAGTTCTCCTAAAATCTGGCCCCATTACTTTCTATGTTTTTCAATGAAAGATTTGGTAAATTTTCTAAAAATCAGAATGCCAACTCTTTCATTGAAAAGCATACAAAAGTCATCCTATCTAATAAAAGAGTAATATGCAAATCGACCATCACTCCAACATGCAAGATGCTGTCCCATGTGGTCAAAGATGGCTGCCCCCATTTGGACACAAGATGGCCACCACAAGATGGCCTGCAGGGTAGTATTTAAACCAGAGTTCACAAGTATCTTGAGGTGGAACATGTTCACCATAAGCTTCCCAAAGTATACAATAACATTTTCTTAAAAAAAAAAAAATAATAATAACGAATTAAAACTTCATGCAAATGCACTTTTGTTGGCACACAACTTGACATTTTTAAGCATAAAAATATCTATGATGTTAACACCTTCAGCAGATTTGACGTATGGAGTTTTGAAGCTTAATGTCAATACAATAAAATAACATACATATTAAATCACACATATATGAACATATGTGTAACTCCATCTATTGAAAAAAAATCCTCATTATTAACTGGTACACCTAGTAAATGTGCATATACTGATGCTAACAAATTAACTACATGTAATAAATTACCTCTGTTAAGGCATTCCACAGTTCCTCATCTGTATGCTCATTAAAGGGGTCCAGATTTTTCCTCATTGTTCCAGTGAATAAAACAGGCTCCTAAGTACCGCAAAAAAGTGAATATTATTACTGTACCCTCTTTTCCTTGTATTCCAATACTAACTTTCAGAACAGAATTAAAATTCAAAATCCCAAAATGCACTATAATCATGAGTTATATGGTTACAAATACTTGAATACAGAATGATTACTATATTAATTTTCCATTGTACAGCGTGCAGTCCAAAATATCTCCTGGACCATTGAACAAAAACAAAAGAAACTAATGCAGTATGTCATCTTAAGAAGAAACTGAAAAAGGAAGATTTTATTTTTAAAAATGTCTTTTTGATAATGAAATTCTGCTGTAAGAGAAAAAAATGAGAATATAAATTAATTTGAGGTTACATCAGGAGAACATAAATTAATTGTCAATCCAGGTGTGGTGTGATACTGGAAAAACACCAACAGCATGATTAGGCGAAATTTGTGCCTCTAAGCAAAACTGTTAAATATTTTCACATTTGCACAGAATAAACTTAAAAAAAAAAAGAAGAAATATTTTCTCCATTGGGAAACCAAACTTTCAGGATTGGGAATCTCTCTATCTGTTTGAATGGGACAACCTGTTTTTTGTCCTTAGAGAAGGTAAACTAATTGAGGCCAACGACACCTCTATTCATAAGGAGATCACCTCTGATTTGCATCAGCAAACCCCATGTTATCTTGTCTCTGCATCAGCATTTCATGATTCATAGAACTTTGTTATTAACTGAAAGGGCTGGATACCCTGAAACCCATTGTGTGCGTCATAATGAGATTATTTTTATTTAAGTAGCTCTTCCTCTTCATCTGCTTTGGGAGGAACCACAATTAAATTGCTCTTGAAAAAATATGCCTCCTTCTAGGTTTCAAAAGAGAATCTTGTACCTGAGCTTATAAGTAGGCCGTTTATGTTTTCTCTTGAGAAGCTCTAGTAAGCCAGGCCACAAGAATATGGGCAGTAGAAAAGAGCTCAACAGGCTGCTTTCAAAAAGGTGGCAGAACAAGGAGAGCACAGCTATGGGAACAAGAAGAGACTGGACTTTTCCACCAGTGCTAGACTCAAGGGAATCAAAAGCCTTGGATCTGGCCTGGCCTTAGGGCTGGATGGTTCCTCTTCATCTCTCAAAAGCCAGAGAAGAAGGATAGAAACGGTACTTTAATCTTCTCTAGCCATGAAGAAGCATGACACTCAGAGAACCTCCCACACTTTCTCTCCTTCTTGTCTTAGTTTCAGGAACGGTGAGGGGAAAATGGATGCAGAAAACAGATGGTTGGCCATCAAACAACATGTATCCCTAAGCAAAATCCTACATTAAAAAGACATTAAGTCCCGGCCAGTGGGTTGGGCATAATCCTGTGCACCAAAAGGTTATCAGTTTGATTCCCAGGCAAGGTATATGCCTGGGTTGTGGGCTTGATTCCCAGTAAGGGTGTGCAGGAGGCAGCTGATCAGTGATTCTCTCCCATCATTGCCATTTTTATCTCTCTCTCTCCGTCTCTGAAATCAATAAAAATATATTTAAAAAAGCATAGAGAGACCAGAAGTACTCTGTAGGCCTTAAGGAGGGTCTGCTAACCATCAACAAATCATTGCTGAGTATCATAAAAAGAAATTAAGCATTTTCCAATGCGAAAGGGTCTCCACTGAAATCTGTACTTGTGGATCTAAAAGAATATATTAGGCAATTATTCATGTTTACTTAGCAGTATGAAAAGAAAATAGTTTAATAAATAATGATATTTCTCTTTAAGACATGACAAATATCATATACTATATAATATAAAGCTTATATGCAAATAAATCAAATAGCAGAAAGACTGTTCACTATGATGCACACTGACCACCAGGGGCAGACCCTCAACACAGGAGATGCCCCTTGGTGGTTAGTGGGCTCCCATAGGGAGAGTGCTGCTCATCCAGAAGCTGGGCTCACAGCTGGCGAGCACAGCGGTGGTAGCAGGAACCTCTCTCACCTCCATGGCAGCGCTAAGGACCCCTCGGTGGACATCTCCTGAGGGGTCCCGGACTGTGAGGGGGCGCAGGTTGGGTTGATAAGACACCTCTCCCTCCTCCCCTCCCAGTGCATAAATGTCATGCACCGGGACTTTTATTCATTTATAAAATGAATAAAATTTCAATCAAAACTTGTTGAATAAAAAATGATTTCTCAAAACATTAACTGAGTAAAGTTATATTTTTCTTTAAAACAATTTGGCAATTTGTTAACAATGTCTGCTTTAATATGCCAATGTGTTTTATGCACGGTGTTCATTTTGGTTACTACTCATTGTACTCACATCCACTTGCCAAATAAGAAACCATTATATTATCTTCAAAAGATAGTAAAAGTGCTCACAGTAGATACTACTTCAAGAGCAGATAAGGGTCAAAATAATATCTATACAAAATGATAATATTTAAACTACCCACCTCCAAGCAATGAAGTTAATAAACTAATCTTATGTTATAAAAATATTTGCAGGCAGAACACTTTAGTGTTAGACATTTATGGTAGGACATAGAACCTTCATGTAAATATATACTAAATTTACTAACCAAAGTACTAAGTTTTTTCTGAAGGTGCACAATTAAACCTCATTTAATGAGTGAGCCAACACAGTACAGTTAGAAAAAGAAATGTAATATTCTAAGTGGAACATTAGTAATAAACCTGTTTTTCATCTTGGTTTAAAAGGTACAGTATTTTTATCCTTTGTACCACATTTAATAGTAATTTTTTCCTTTGTTACTAACATAACACAAGTTCATATTAGGTGTGTGACCCCAAAAAGGCCACTCTGAATCAGAGTACTGAGTGTAGTAAATTGATAATCCCTGGACACACTGCAAGACGGGAACCCAAAGGCCTACTAAGACCTTTGGACACACTACGGGAAGACAAGCCTCTCATTATCCTAAAAAGAAACCCTACCCACTAACCTCCAGACACTTAAAACCCGGGACCAAGACAAAAAGCGTACAAATGGTTACAAACTCGGCAGATAAAGCACAACACTTTACACTCATCGTTTCAGTTCCAAATCAGGAAACCACCCTCTCTTATTAAAATACATCCTCAGGGGTGGCTACCGCCACTGCTTCTTCCAGTCCTGAGAGCTATGTTTTCATTTCTAATCTAAGGACCTTTATTGAGGGCAGCTCATCTCCCCGTTAGGAGAAAATCACCTGGAGTTGCTTTATTTCTTGGTGTCCTTTTTTTTTTTTTTTATACCCTGTAGCCTCTGAATGAACCGATCGTCATCCATATTCAGAAGAAAAGGACATTGTTCGCCAACAAAGGAAAAAGAATTTAAGTCCTGTAAAGTCCTCTTTCGATACAAAAAGGTCAGGAACCGCGGGGAGCAGTTCCAGGGCCTTTAATGAAGACTTCAGTGTCAGAAACAAAGGACCCCACTGCATTAGGCTTGGATCCAGTTGTATTTCTTTACGAGTAACAGCATACCCACCTCTGCTCTCTTTGAGTTTTGTTCTCAATAAGAAAAGAAGGGAAAGAAAACCAGGTCCTAGGGAAGAAGTCTTAAAGAGATAGATCTGTTGAACCCTTTCAACCTGATGAAGATAACCCCTGGAATGGAAATAACAAAAGAGCAGAGTGATACTGTTTAGAAATTACCCACCTTTTGCTTTGATTATAAAGGTCTCATAAAAATAACAAATGGATCTGCTAAATCGTATGAGGATGATGGCTGTTGATCTGTGCCAACCCTTGGGGTGCTATCATGAATATTGCATGTGCATGGAATCCCTCTTCAAGTGAAAACATTTTCTTTATGCCCATAGGATAGGGGCTGTAGGTGTGGAGACTTCATCCAAAGAAGTTTTGAAATCCATTTTTACAGATCTCTCAGATAAGCAAGCAACTCCCTGAATATAATCTCACCGTGGTATTCTCTTTGGGGAACATTTTTTTTAACTATTTCGGGTCACGAGTACAAAGAATGCCTACATTTCAGCTACCTGTTCAGTTTTAAAAAATTATTTAGGCCCTAGCTGGACAGAGCATTGGCCTAAGGACCTAAGGGTCCCAGGTTTGATTCTGGTCAAAGCCATGTACCTTGCTTGCAGGCTCCTGCCGAGCCGGGCTCTGGGAGGCAATCAATCGATGTATTTCTCTCACATTGATATTTCTCTCTGTCTTTCCATCTCTCTTTCACTCTCTTAAAAAAAAAAAAAAATCAATGGAAAAATAGCCTCGGGAGAGGTTTAAACAAAAAAGAAAAATTTTTAAGGAAGTGCTTTTATTTGTTTGCCATTCCTGAAATTCTGAACACAAATTAGAGGTGTGCATTTTTAAGAATATAGTTGTGTGCTTTTTAAAGTTCCCTCCAGGACTAGCCAGACTGTGTGCCATCATTTTCTTGCCTCTGCTCCCATGTAGGTCTTTGCTATCACCTCTCTCCCAATTCTGGCCTCCTCAAGGTGTAATAAAGAGTGATAGGGATGGCCCAGCCAGCGTGGCTCAGTGGTTGAGTGTCTACCTATGAACCAGGAGGTCACGGTTCAATTCCTGGTCAGGGCACATGCCCGGGTTGTGGGCTTAATTCCCAGTGTGGGGCATGCAGAGGGCAGCCGATCAATGATTCTCTCTCATCATTGATGTTTCTATCTCCCTCTCCCTTCCACTCTGAAATCAATAAAAAAATATATATATATATACTTTTTTTTTTTTTTTTAAAGAGTGACAGGGATGACCCTGAAAGAGAGAGACCACCACAGGAGCTCATGGTGCACAGCGAGCAGGAGGCAGGGAAGAGGTTATGGGCCTTGCTCACCAAATCTGTAAACAAGGAAGTAGCACTGGGTTCCCCCTTTGCAGAGTCTGAGGGTGTTGAGGCAGAAACAACACTGCTTCCTATTCATTTGGGGTGAAAAACAATGTAAGTTTCCCACAGTATAGACATGTAACTAGGCCAACAGACTTCTCCTCTGCAGCCAGTTAGAAGCTGCAAAGAGCTCTCGCAAGGTAAGATTTTGAGTATCTTCTCCTGACACT